TTGAATGAAGCGCACGAAGGAGAGATTGATGAAGTTGTCTCCATAGCTGACACAGATGAAGAAGATCATGAGCCATTAAGTTGTCTTGACTCAGAGTTTCATGATTTTGCTCTTTTGCGGTTGGTAAAGTGTGGGCTCTCTATGATCCTATAGATGAGATGCCTCGATTGTATGGTCGGATCAACAGAATTAATAAGTCGCAGTTGAGTGTTCAAGTTACATGGCTTGAGCGTAAAGATGATGAATCAGTTCCTGTTGCTTGCGGGAGGTTCGAGCATGGGCTTACAGAAACCATGCAAAGCTACTTGACGTTGTCTCATGAGGTGCATCCAATCACTAATGGCCGAAACTTCATCGCTGTGAAACCGAGGGAAGGCGAAACGTGGGCACTTTTCAGAGACTGGAGCACGAGCTGGAACAACAATCCGGAACAGCACAAGCCTCCTTATAGGTACGACCTTGTGGAAGTGATCTGTTTCGACGATCATCTAGGATTTGGAGTGGCCTATTTAGGGAAGGTTGAAGGATTTGTATCGGTCTTTAAGCACGATGTGCAGGATAGAGTCATCTCATTCTTGATCTCACCAGAGGAAATACATAGATTCTCTCACAGAGTACCATCATTTAGACTGAATGGAGAGGAGAAAGAGGGAGTTCCCGCTGGTTCTTTCGAGCTTGACCCTGCTGCTGTCCCGAGTTCTATACTCAAGCTTGACCCTGCTGCTGTCCCGAGTTCTATACTCAAGCTTGCTCAGTCTGTCCGTGAGGAAGCTGTTAGGTGTGTGGATGAACGCCCTCCAATCCTGTACCAATACCGGAGGACGGTTATGCGCAACAGGGCCTGCAACCTGGCTAGATTAAGAGACTCTCAGACACCTTTGCTAGGAGGAGAAAATCCTGAGTTGCACTCTTCTGATTTTACTGGGGTCACTCCGGGGAAGAAGGATATTCAAACGCCTAATCCAATGTTGACCCCTTCTATGACTCCTGGTGGTGCTAGCCTTACTCCCAGAATTGGCTTGACGCCATCAAGGGACGGGTCTTCTTTTGCTATGACACCCAAAGGTACTCCCTTCACATAAATGAAGACATGGACATGCACGAGAGTGCAAAACTTGAGAGGCAGAGACGAGAAGAAGCTAGAAGGAGCTTACGCTCTGGTCTGACTGGGCTTCCTCTGCCAAAGAACGAGTACCAAATAGTTGCACAACCTCCTCCAGAGGATAGTGAAGAGCCAGAAGAGAAAATTGAGGAAGATATGTCAGACAGGATAGCTAGGGAAAAAGCTGAGGAGGAAGCAAGACAGCAGGCGCTGCTTAGGAAAAGATCCAAGGTGTTGCAGAGAGATCTTCCTAGACCTCCAGTGGCTTCACTGGAACTAATTAGGAATTCGTTGCTTTCATCCAACGGAGAAAAGAGTTCCGTTGTTCCTCATACTCCAGTTGAGGATGCAGATGAAATGGTACGAAAAGAGCTTCTACAGTTGCTGGAGCATGATAATGCAAAGTATCCTCTTGATGAGAAAGCTGAGAAAAAGAAAGGAGGCAAGAACCGTGCCAACAGTTCTGCTTCTCAAGTTCTTGCAATTGAAGATTTTGAGGAAAATGAACTCCAAGAGGTATGTATACGAATATATCTTCCCAATGTCAGTTTACTTTAGTTGTGTGGTTAATAAAATTTTCGGCTTACTACTGGAATCCTTTAGTTTTCCTTAGGTTTATGGATATCGATGGAATTGTATGCATGAATGTGAAACCGTCTTCGTATGAAGTAACATCTTTAATTTGGTGTACTCTTGTGTGATATTCTAAAGAAGGTTTCCCATGATTTTTTTGGTAGGCTGACAAAATGATAAAGGAGGAAGGCCAGTTTCTTTGCACCTCAATGGGACACAAGAACGAGTCACTTGATGATTTCGTAGAAGCTCACAACACATGCGTGAACGATCTCATGTACTTCCCCACTCGGAACGCATACGGCCTCTCAAGTGTTGCTGTGAACGCAGAGAAAGTTGCAGCTTTGCAAGTGGAGATGGAGAATGCAAAGAAAAAGATGGAGGAGGATGAGAAGAAGGCAGAACACACGAAGGCCAAGTATAAAACTTACACAAAGGGTCATGAGGTA